TCGAGGTGCCCGCGAACTGTGCTGAGTTCGCGGGCACCTATCAACTCGGCCGCGTTCGCCGCGGCCGCGCCCAAATGGTTAGGTATTGTCTGGGAGCCGTTCGCTTGCATTATGTGGAAGCTTAATAGAGCTTGCAAAGAAAATACAGAATAGAATAATAGAAAGTACTTCAAACATTCAATTTCGAGCGAGTGACATTTTGAGTGACAGCGACACATAAGGTACGCAACAATTTGGTAGATAACTACAGCATGGCATACTTAAAAGTACCTAGTTACAACTGACTATCACCGACGGTGATCGGTAATTTTATAGCAACAACCTCAGATCAAATTAGTGGGCTAATAGCGGTCGATAATGGAATTGTGGATCCGAGTTAACTGGAAATGAAAAGAAAAGAAACGGAGCAAATCGAAGACGAAGCCCTTACACAAGAACTCCTTTTTCTACCCCTGAACTAATAGAGGAAGTGTCGGACGAGTTGTCTGGACTTGCTTGCTCCGCGGTCCACCATCAACACTATTTGGATTAGGCGCTAAGTCGCTGCGTCTACCTATGGGGTGTGCGCGAGGTATCTCGTCCATTAGCTCACATTAGCCACCATCAGCTCACTTTGTAAGGCCCTAGCGCCACTGTCGCGCACTTTCGAGCCGCGACAACGGCACAACTGCGATACTCGTGGCCTACTCCATCCTCCACGCAGGATAGAGTGTTCAACATGACCTCATCCGGTTTTTTCTTGCTTTAATTGTCAGTTTTCGACAGAAAAAGACAAAACTGACTGCGCCATGTGCTGCAGGCGCTGTAACAGCAATCAATGCAAAGATTTTGTTTTTGATTGTTTGTGTTCAGTGGAGAACCACAAAAGCGTTTTGCGGACTGGGCATAAAAATGGGAGAGAAACTTCACACAATGTGTAGGATCACTAGAAGATTATCACAGAACTGCTGGTCATGAGCATGCTAAAAGAATAACGAACAAGGCACAGAGTTTGGAACAGCTCTCGATAACGCGTCTTTGTAAGGTTGATGAACTGCTTTACTAGATAAAATAGAAAACTGATGCGTCAACATCCCACCACGCCCGTCTGTAAATGCCCTTTAGGTGTGATATGAAAAGTGGTGGAAAAACCTAGCAGAACCAGGAAGTATCTGGTCTTGCGATATAATTATAATGAGTTTTTCTCAACTCAATTTATCTTACTGTGTAATAAGTGACCCATTCGTCACCATTTCGTTGTTACCCTCAGAGTGGTAGGTTCATGTTTGAATATCAGCACTTGCGGGAGACGTCCAAACACCTTCGAGAAGGAAAACTAGATGGCTTCCAAAGGAAGAAAGTGTTGAGTTATAAATAATGAGGCAGTAAATCTTTGATTGTATGTGAACGGAATGAAAGAGCATCACCTAACATGAATTGGTGATAAGCTGCCGTTGAGCCAAGCCCAAGAGAAATGAATGAAGAAACCATTTGCACGACTCAGTACGCTCCAATCAGCTCATCGATCTTCGTACGCAAGGGTTCCACTTCCCGACTGGGTATAAGTTGGAACTGTCTTGCGAAAAGTATGAACTGTTTGAATGAAGTGTTCAGGTGAGGAGTTGCATTCAGTTCAGTAAAACGTGCAGAGTGTGCTGCATAGACGTGAGCATATACCCGAAAAAGACGTCGCATTATTCCTTCACACACTTCCATGTAATTCCGAGGGAAAGAGCGACCTAAATAGAGGTTATTATCTTCCAAATAGGCATTAACTCTGTAAAATTGAGTGGCACTCACCGACTTGCGACGGGAAAACGTTTTCGTCGTCAAGTTGATCCTGTATCCAAGTCATAACATAGTCTATATATACCGGAGCGGATGCAGGTATGCTAAAATCAATTAGGTAGTAACATCCTTGAAAGTTAGCATGACCCACTATAACTATAAGCCTGCTGTGATGCAACCAAATTAAAGGAGTTTACGATGTAAAGGCGGTCCATTAAAAATCAAGGAAAAGTGGTCAGTGATGCACGGATGAAGAAAAAACCATAATAAGCGGCCTAGGACTCGAGAAATGGGATGGCATTCCTTTGATGCGAGTCTCACTGCTGCTGTTGAAAAGCACCGCTAACACCCTCTCTGCTCAACGGCCAGAGTCAGATGGCGAGGACCCATCGGCGGACGCACAGCGGCGCTAGCGGCATGGGTACGGCCCTGCTAACAAGGAGACTGGTCAATTGGTCAGTCCGGCCATTTGTAATGAGGTGTAGTCCGATGCACGCGTCTTGCGACGCTGAGCTCAAATCCGTTTTCGGTTTTTGCCGGAACGATTCTCTGTGTCTAGGGATTCTTCTCACTGTGGAGTCTCTACTCCCTTATCCCACCCGGCTCGCGTAAGAAGAGCCGGAGAGCACCCAGTGGCAGTGAGCCTGGTGATGTGGTGGACAGTGCTCTCGCCTTATGTGGGTGAGAGCACATGTTCGAGGTGAAATTTTCGCATTTTCAGGGCACCTCATACGAGCTCAGAAAGCACTAGTAATTGGTCATTTTGTTGATATGCCTCCCCCACTCGACACCTCTAGGAAACAGGCCCTAGAATTCCCTTCTAACGTGCTTCTTTTTGAAAATTTTTTTTATTATGATGAACTTTGACACACGGAACACTGACACAGAGGCATAAATATACAAAATTCCAATAACTTACGAGCACATGTGATAGTCCCTCACAAAGTGATCTGTGCAAAACAGCTTCTGCCATGGCTGCTCTCCGGCTCTTCTTACGCGAGCAGGGTGGGATGGGAGGACTAGAGGGCGCCACAGTGAGAAGAATCCCTCGTAACTTCGTTCAGAGAATCGTTCGGCAAAAACCGAAAACGGATTTGAGCTCAGCGTCGCAAGACGCGTGCATCGGACTACACCTCATTACAAATGGCCGGACTGACCAATTGACCATTCCTTGTAAGTTGCGGGGGCCAATTCTTCGCTGCAGAACCCTCAGGAGGCCCACCTCCCCGTAAGTAGGTGTATTCCCCTTCCCTGACCTCCGATCTTATCTTGGAATCCTCGTTTATGCCACACTCTTTCCGAACAATAGCCACATCTGAACACCATGCGTGGGATTGCGGTAAGTTTGAATTCAAGCG